AATCGATCAGGTTTTGTCCATGAATAATACATCGAACTGCAACAAAGCTATCAATATTACTTTTATCGATGATTATTATCTATTAGAATGATATGTTCAATAAAAAAACAAAAAGCTATTAGTGCAGTCCGTGTGGGATTAAAATTCGAAACACAACGTAGCTACTGTTACTAATCATAGAGAAATTGCTTCATTCTATCTATTTTCAGACACATTTCTTTACCATCGTTGTACTTAATCCTTCAAAAATATCATAAGGACATAGTTCAGATATTATAAGGAGACGTTATTGATATACGATCAAGGACCGTATATGAATAACGTCTGTTACTGTCCGCAGGGGGTCTAAATTTTTACTCCTATACTTCAACATTCCTTTTAAATCGTGTCTCAAAAAAAGAAAAAGATATACTAGAAACGATTTCGTCGATGTTCTAGAGATAAGATTCTTTGTCATGTACTGATCTAGACTACCAATTGAAATGTGTCTTAATGTGTGAAGTCTACGACAATAAGGGGACGTCCAGTAGTCACCATGTAGAATTGGTTGCAACGCTGAAAAATAAAATAATTGAAACAGTTTTATTAGTTCAGAGAAGTCGAGAAAATGACTAACAATCTATGCAAGCACAACGGACATTAGATATGAGTATAAATACGAATGTTTAGTAATCTCTTCTAATTGACCATGAAGCCTTACACAAAAGCAATTAATAGTGATTTGAAACATTTCTTATAATCCTCTATAATTTTTCCTCATTTTAAAGCAGCTGTTCGCTGTAAGCTTTTGATATTCTACAACAACAAAAAAATAATTTTTATCTTTTCGGAATATTTCGATAAACTCGAAAAGTGAAAATCAATATTCAATTGTCATTTACCAGCGAGATCATCGAAGAATTGATTGAATGCAATAATTCTTTATTTATCACATGCTACCCTCGTTTTCGCGCTCTGCTATATGGAATTGAGGGCGAACATTTATTGTTGCGAGTACAGACACATAATACATGCAACCAAAACTAGAAACTTCAGAAGGGCTAACCCGATCTTCGAAGATGTGCCGCTTTCTCGACTCCTACACTGGATACAACATTGGTGAGAAGTGAAATTGTAACTACGCTTCTGTCAAACATGCGACAAAATTATCGCTTTCCCTAATCTATGACCAATAATGAACTGTTCATCTCTATGTTCGATACATGTTTATTTATTATTATTATTTTTTTTGTTAATTTTATTTAAGACTATTACCACATCGTTCAAATTCCATTGATGGTAAAAAACACGTTCGAACAGTTCCTGTACGTTTACGAAAAGCTCAAAATGATGAACATAGCAAACATGAAGGTTTTACAAAAAAATTCTTCTTAAATCTTTCTCAACAAAAGTTTGATTACATTTTTATTTAGATGGTCATTTTGCAACAGCAACAATACGTTATATAAAAGATTTAGCTGGTATATTTGGTAATGATGTTATATTTTTCTTATCACAAGATGATAAATGTAAAGTACCTATTGGTTTACCGGCTGCCAAAATTCAAGCACCTATGCTTATGCATTTGGATTATCGTGTTCGTTTACCTGATCATGACTGGACAGTAGCACCTCGTCATCAATTAACACCAAGGTAAAATTACAATTTCTTTTTTTTTTTTTATTATGAAATAAAAGAAGAAATCTAAATCCTTTTTCTTTTCATTCTAGTGTTTATGCTGCTTGTATGATGAATGATAATAGTGATGTTGGTTATTCAGGTCCAACTTATATTGCAATTCGTTCAGCTAAACATGATCGAAGTGATGCAAGTAGTCATGCATGTGATTTTGATCGTCTTGTTGGTCTTAAAGAATTTGACAAATCTGCACGAGATTATACAGGTCATGTTAAGCCAATCGTTATTATAACTGTTGATGGTGGACCTGATGAAAATCCACGTTTTCCAAAAACACTTGTTGCTAGTATAAGAAAATTTCGTAAATATAATTTAGATGCATTATTTGTTCTTACACATGCACCTGGTCAATCAGCATATAATGTTGTTGAACGACGTATGGCACCGCTTTCACATGATTTAGCTGGTCTTATTTTACCTCATGATCATTTTGGTACGCATTTGAATGATTCAGGTGTAACTGTTAATCCAGAATTAGAAAAAACAAATTTTAAAAAAGCTGGAGAAGTTTTAGCTGAAGTATGGTGTGGTTCAGTTATTGATGAATATCCTGTTGTGGCTGAATATATTGATCCACCTGTATCAACTGAAGATGAATTACGTTTAATTGATGTTAATCTTATCGTGAATAATATTTTAGATCTGTAAGATTAGTTATACTTTTCTTTGTCTGCTTTTTGTTAAGAAGAGACAATATTTTATAATGATTATTTTAGTGTATGCGAAGAAGAAGAAGCAGAAGAACCAATTGAACGTCGTATTCGACAAACTGATGAATATTATCAAGAAAGAGTTCGTGCTCCACGTATTACATCTAGCGGAGACTTATTACGAGATGCACCGAAATATGATATTGATGAGTAAGTTTTTCAACGAATGTCTTCAAGTTATAAAAATCTTGCAAATCTTTGCTCTTTTTTTCGTATACAATTGAATAAGGATAAAAATAATTGTTTAGATATTGGTGTGCTACACATGTTCTTCAAACTCAATATACAATTCAAATCGTTCGTTGTAATTCAATCTCATGTTGTGGTCCATGGCGTTCAAATTATATTCAAGTATTTCCGCATCGATTTCTTCCAGCACCAGTACCATTTGAACGTACACCACGTGGTATTGCTATGGCTGAACGTGATTATCAAAAAGGTGTTTTCTATGGTTCATTAATTCAACGTATACAATTTCATGGTGTTGTTATGCAACATACACAAAATGATGTTTTACCATTTGATTATTGTTGTTCAAGTGTACGAAAAGAATTAAAAAGACGTGTTTGTCCAATATGTAAACAATATATTCCATCAGCTTATCGAATGAAAAATCATTATAAAATTCATCAACAACAATATGCATCAAATTTTCTTGATTATGATGAAGATATGTTAGTTAATGATAATTCTACAGGCAATGAACAAAATGGAGATGATGATACTGATATGCTTAGTAGTCAACGACCATTACCATCTGTATCTAATCCGTCAGCTAATGGTGTTGTTGTTTTTTCAGATATGCTTGATTGGTTAAAATCTGATTTTGAAGAACTTGAACTTAAAGAACAACTCACTAAAGATGTTGACAAAAAGAAACCAATAAATGAATCAATGTAACTTTTTGAAATTTTGTACACGTTTATGTGCGTGGATGTGTTTTACATTTATTTCATTGTCTTTTTCTCTTTTTGTTTTTGTAGTTTTGTTTTTAGTCAATTTCATGTAATACATATTTAGACATGTTTTCTCTCTTTTTTGTGTTTATTAATTTTAGTCTATTAAGTTTTGTTGTTCTCCTCTCAGTGAAAGAGTACAAGTAAACCATTGATAACCAATTAGAACATTTGAATTGAAGTTTTTCCTTTTTTTTCCTTTCTTAAGTGTGACAATTTTCATGAAAAGAACTTTTTGTGGATGTTTAAATGAAATAAACTTGAACTCACCGCTGAAATGTTCTACTCATTTGAAATGTACAGAGATATATTTAGAAAAAAGAAAAGATTACTTTTTTATTAAAATGTGACTTTTCGAAAATAAAATATTTAATAGTAATTCATCATTTTCAACTTTTCTTATTATTTTTAATTATAAGTAATATGTTTTGTCTGTCGATTATATTATACATCTTATTTCATTTGATACTAATACAATATATTTTTCCTGTTGTATGCGATATGACTTTTTGTACAAGAAAGATAAAGTGTCAATTCAAGAAAGACTAAGAATATAGTAAAAGTTCTATTGACAAACACTGCTTAATTATAAATAGTCTTGACTTCGACCAAACAAGTTTTGCTGGAAATGCCTCTGTTCAATGTGAATATCTCTTTATTCTCAACAATTAATAACTTCTTTGTAGTCTTTCTTGCTTTGATAATCTTCCTAATGTGAACACATGTGCAATGTTTTCTTTCACTTCTTGCTTACTGACTAACACCTGTTTCATGTGTATTACGGCTTAATACGCTTCATCTATGAATTCACTGTTGTACGTATGAAGAATATAATGACACTATGATGTTTATCATATTTCGAAAGCAAGAAAAAACAGAATAGTTAACAAGTAGCATAAATGTAAGTATATATGCTAATTACAAAAAAAACTCCTCTGAATTGGGTTTCAGATTCAAAAAATTTGACTCCGCTGAGTTTCATCTACGAGCTATTCTTCATTTCACAGCAAATCATGCATCAACTATGTAAACTGAATACTCCACGTATTTGTAAGGATTTCCAATAATATTCAAAATAGAAAGATTTTACTGTACTACGATTGGCTATCGGTTTTTTTACTAAATACAAATTGTAAAGTTATTAATTGAAAGTTCTCTCGTAAAAAAAAAAGTTAAAAGTCGAAAACATTTTCAACTATTGTTTTTTATAGTGAATCTAATTTAATAGATTTACATAATTTTAATCATACAAAACACAGTTATCATTTTATGATGTGCCTTTCTTAATAATTTTCATAAAAATATAAAGAATAGATTGACTTTATACATCTCATATAATTACGCGAGAACTTTTCCATATCATCTTATATATGATTCACATTCAATTCCAGGGTTTAAATTTATATACATATAGAAAATCGAACGTGTGTATTTTTCTCCTACTCCCATTTCTTATTCTCTTTATTATATATATATATGTTCGTTACACTAAAGTACAAACATACACATAAACTCGAAGTAGTCATCATATTTTGTTTTTTTCTCTCTTTAGAATATTTTTGGATACGTAATCAATAATTGATAAGGATAATTCTTTTAGTAAAATATATCAAAATCTATCAGAACTTGTTTTAAAAACGAAGTCAATCAAATTTAAATGGGTTGTAGACATTCATCATCACCACCTGAATCACCAGTTAAATTAGTACAAAATGGAGGTCCAATTATATTAAAAAGTAAAATATCAATACATCGTACACAAGTTATTGATCAACGAATATCAAACGGTATCAAAACATCTAGATTATCAATATGTTCAAAAAAAGTAAACATTAATTATATGAAAAGATTTTTCTATCTAAAAACAAAATTTAGATATCTCGTTCATTATCTCCTTTAACATTACCATTTACAGCGTTATCTCTTCAACAAACACTCAATGGTGATGGAAAACATTTAATTAAACGATTTGAACTTGATACACCATGTCTTATACTTGATGTTTCACGAACACATACTCTATTAGTTGATGNCTAAATTTTGTTTTTAGATAGAAAAATCTTTTCATATAATTAATGTTTACTTTTTTTGAACATATTGATAATCTAGATGTTTTGATACCGTTTGATATTCGTTGATGGTAGAAAACTTCGTCTAATTAATATGGAAACAATGAATATTGAAACGAATATTCTACCAATGAATTGTAAAGATATTCAAGAAATAGCTTGGTCATCAAAACTTAATACATTTCTTCTTCTTACAACGGATGAATTATATCAAACTGGTTGTAAACATTTACATCCAACACCTATTCAGCAAATTCAGGTTAGATAATCAATTAATAGATTATTATTAATTTTTTAAATCGAAGAATACATTTTTATTAAATGTAAAAAAATAAAATAATGGTTGAACCATAAATAATTGCACTTGAAGTATTTTCAAAACTTCTCCGCTGTCTTTTGCTTGATTGAAACAGAAGTTTTTTTAATCAAAAGATAGCGATTAATTTTTAGCATGAAGTAATATATTTGCTATAATAAATATGATCTTCTCTATATTTTCGGATCAAACTTAATTGCACAGTGAATTCAAGTATAGAATATAAATTAATTTCCTTTTTCAATTCTTTTGAAAGAACGCTTTATTTCATCTATCAATGTTACTTTTGATGTTATGTTGTTCTAACGCATAATTTCAGTTAGTTCATTCTACACATTATAGTCCAAAAGATTTTGCATCAGACAAATTCGATGACTAATGTTTCTTCAGTATGAATGCATAGAAATGATCTGTACACTATTTTTGCACTGTGGTAATATGTGTGAATTTTAAAAAAATTCTGCTAAGATGTAATTTGAAAAATTAGCCCGCTAGTTTTTTGCTTGCAGATCAGTCATGATCTACTCTTGGGCTTTCTATTATGAAAAGCAACTAGCGACAAAAGTTTTCAAATGACTAATTGTTTTTGACTCGAGACTATCTACCTCATCTAAACTATAAATGAGCTATGAATACTCTGAAAACACTTTGGACTCTTCTTAGCTTATTGGTGCCGAGATACTGCATTTTTATGATATTTTTGAAGTTAATGCCATGGCCATCCTCAGAAAAATTTGGACTTGAAGCTTTCCATAGAAACATATCTTATCGATAACAGTTTTTTAATGAAAGAATGTTGTCATTTATATTGTTCTTATACACCGGCAGATTCGGTGTTATTATTTCAGAATAGGAGCAAACCAAAAGACCTGAAATTTTCACAACAAACTATTCTCGTTAAGATCTCTCTGTCTATGTGTAAAGTTTCAAGTTGAAATTCGATTTTGGAAAATACAAAGTGTGCAAGTGTCTATGAGTCACTCATTATTCCTTTATTTTTGTCTAGTTTATTGCTGAAGGTCCTCGAAAATCATACATGGCCATAGATGGAGATGATTTACTTATAAATCGTTCATTTGGATATGATATTCGTCGTTATTCTCTTACAAATTTTAGTCTTGTTCAATCACCTCGTACATATATAGAAAATGAAAATATTTGTGTAACAACTATTCGATTAAATTCAAATAAAATATTAGCTCTTGCTATTTCTATTGGTAAACAACAAATGATTGATTTAGTTAATTTAAATACTGATCAACTTATACATCGAATTAATTTTAATACAGGTGAAAATATATTATATCCTATTGATTTACATAATAATGGACAATGGTTTGCTAAAACATGTATACCTTGTGTTAATATTAGTCATTGTTTAATATCATCAAATGGACAAGTTACAAGACTTACACTTTTTCCTAATCAAGATAATTTTATACGTTCTCTTTGTACAAGTCCTGATAGTCGATGGTTACTTGTTAGTCGACAACATGCACTTGAACTGTACCAACCTTGCATATCATAATTATCTTTAGTTAAAGATTTTGTTGATGTTTTGTAATGTTTCATTGAACTGATAGTGTTCATTTTTTTATTATTATACATATATATATTGCGTGTGTGTGTTTTGATTTATACATGTAACTTTTATTTTTAGTTTTATTAGTGAAGCCACAAAAAAACAGGGAAAACACGATATTTAAGATGAAAATAGAAACAAATTTAACTGTTTCTCTATGAATAAACTTAAAAGAATGTTTAATTTTTGTTTTATTCAAAAAGAAAAAAAAAACATTAGTTTTACGAAGTAAGGTCAGACTTCATTATTCTAGAAATAAAACATTAACTAATGAAAAGATAAGAAAATTGTTTACATAATTCAATTTTAATGAAAAGTTGAAATACGAACATAAAAAGATTTTCTTTTATATTGAATACTTCTGTTAATCTTTGCAGATATTTTCAAGCAAGAGAAAAAAAAATTTGCAAACTTCCTTTAAAACATTTTAAGTATTTCCATAACAGGGTTACCAAATTCAAATTTTAGAAATCAGCAGTTTTTTGCGAAAAATCAGGAGTATTTTTTTTGACATTCAACAGTCATTTGATAGTTTTTATCTGATAACATCCGATTTTTCACTCCGACGCATTAATCTCTTTTCCTAACGAGATTGATGCTGAAAATTTTCCTTGTAGGCGAATTAAAATTGTTAATAGAATGCTGATTTCTAAAATTTGAATTTGGTAACCCTGTTATGGAAATACTTAAAATGATGTTTAATTTTTGTTTTATTCAAAAAGAAAAAAAAAACATTAGTTTTACGAAGTAAGGTCAGACTTCATTATTCTAGAAATAAAACATTAACTAATGAANTTCGATACATGGAAACACAGAAAATGAGTGCTCATTTTAATCTTTAACTCAGCTCCAACTAAATAATGATTCATTCGATTTCGATTATCATTCCATATATAAGTTTAACGCTTCCATAAATTTGTTCTTTTCTCTTTAAAATCACTATAGGCTCAAAACGTCGCTAATCGTCACATTAAAAAAATCAGGAGAAATCAGTAGAAAACATAAAAGTCAGCTCCTGAAATCAGAAGATTTCTTGCCAGAAGAAAAGTTTCAAAACCAGGAGATCCCTGGTCAAAATAGGAGATTTGGTAACCCTGTTCCATAACTATATAATTTTGATCAATAAATATTTTTTTTTCTTTTATTATTTTAAGATCTTTACATATAAAAAATAACAAGAAAAATATTCTCAAATATTTCTCATACATTTATCTTAATCTTGTTTATATAATTGAATAGATAACGGGAATAGAAATCAGTTGGTTTAGATTGATGCCATTTTCAATAAAAAAAAAACAAAATCATTATTGTTTGCTATATTATATAACTAATAATCTTGATTCATAGTTATCCTTCTTAATTTCTTCATGTAATAATATGTAACATCTGGAAACAATCCATTTTGATGTATTACAGATGTGTGTCGATGTCAATCAATATCAATGATGTTTACATACATGAAAAGAAACTAATCATATGGACAAAGTTGTGTATATATTACTATTGATTGTCTATCTAGAAATAAAGTATATTGAATTTCATATTGTTTTCGAATCATGTGGTTTCATTCATAAAACTCTTTCAAGATATAAAAAAAAATTAGAGAATATAAGTAAACTCATTTTTGTTCATATTTTCATTAGATTTTAATGTCTAAAATGATCTTGAATTTAACTAAAGAAGGCAACAATAAGTTATAGTATCATTCATACATTGTATTGATCAATTTTTGATAACTATTATCTAATATTTTTCTTCGTCGGTCAGTGGCTACCTTACTTCAGATATACTACTTTCTTTTCAGACAAAAAGAGATATAGAATTCCAAAAACGCAATGAGAATAACTTTACTTATTATATTTACCTTCCTAATTACGATTATTGAACATAGTTGAGACTTGAATCCGACAATAGTCAAGTAATATCATGATCAAATATCATTTTTATATTTTCGTTAGCATTCATGATAAACATTAGCTTTACGTAGAAGATGCTAGTCTTCGCTATAGAAAATCTGATTTGTTTGTCTATGAATTATATGCAATTATGATATTTTTTTTTACTATGTGAGATAAAATTTGTTTGTATTAAATTTCATTACTTTTTTTATAAAACAGAAAATATTTTTGCATATGCGAACGAATAAACAAACTTATATTGAAGTGGAAATTACCATTTAGTCAATATGAAAAATCTTTTGAAATGAATACATTCTTGTTTAAATGCAAAAAAGGTTGGAAATTATTTTGGTATGTTAAATTTTCTATCGATTCTTTTTTCGAGAAATTACTAATCAAAAGTATAAAAAGCCTAATAAGATCAGTTGCATAGTATCCTAATAAGAGTCATACTCAGTTCCTTGTATGTCAACATAGTTTGAATATGTTAATCGTTTTTCTGAATAGATCGATTGTATTCACCGTTGGTAAACGAAAATATTATCGTGTAACAATATTTCTGGCGATATATATATATATATCATATTATAACCAACAATAGTAATCAACTTAAGAAGAACTGAACAGTTACTCTATACATCCATAAATAGGGTGTGCGGATATGCGTGAGAAGATAAGCTTTTCTCTTCATCCACACCTAAAAATTTAGATACTGAATGCAACTATAGCCAAAGTACAGTGCGATAATTATAACGTCGACTTTCTTTTTGTTTTGTTGTGATTGAAAAATAGAGTTAAAATTACATCATTAACATTATTATCAAGGGTGATTCATGTTTTTCTGGAAGAACATTTGATACTGAAGAACACTTTTAGCTAAAGATATTTATGCATACAGACGAAGAGTTAGTGACATTTGTTGAGGTACATTTCAGACTTTTATCGAAATAATGCAATCAGCGATGATCGATAGGGCAAAATATATGAATATAAGACTTATTTTACTATATAATTTCAGACTTGTTTGGTTGAATTAATCATGGTATTTCTTCTTAGAGATTTTATTCATCAATGTTTCTTTTAAAATTTATTTTTATCACAATATTTAACATTAGTAAAATAAATAGTACTATTCATATTAGTTTTTTATTCATGTTCTTCAAAAATAAATACACAGTTTTTGAACCACTTCATTTAAGTATGTATGTGCTCGTGTGACGAATCGAAGAAGAGAGAAAACAAATATATGTTGTAAAACTAGTTGAATATGAAAACGCTAGAATTGTCTAAAAAAAGTCTAGTTGAAAAGACAGTTATTTGCAACTCAATATAATCTCCTCAGAAAAAAAAAGTTCGGTTAATTTATGCATAAATTTCTTATTAGTGATGTTTCCTTTATTCATCTACCATGAAATCAAGACAGACATAAATCATATGTTGACTATTTTATAGATATATCTAAACTAAAAATTGACATACGTAATAAAGCATTCAGAAACGCGTCATTGCCTTTTTTCTTCTTTGAAGACTGTTACCATGTACCGTCAAGATGGTACATAGCTAGGGTCATGAAGCATACTGATATAGTCAACATTCATCATTTTCACATCAATGACTTTCATGGTACAAAAAGTTTCTTGCAATATATTCTTGTTTCAAGTCGATTATGTAACAAGAAAGAGAAAATGATGCATATTTTATTTTATTCAAAAATGCAAATAAAGCGAGCGCAAGAAAAATGTAATTATCGTTATGCTCATTGCGTATAACATTAATCACATCTGAGCTCTGTATTGGATGAAAAAATCTAACCGTTACTCGTGATTACCACATACATTTACATGTTATAATTGAAGATTCGATGCCATTGTGAACTAAACTAATAATTAAATGGAACTATCCAATATATATAGATTATGACACAGATTAAGGGGGAAAAGCGAGACTTCAGTACTCGAAAGTCTTGTTTTGGGCCCTTTGGATATAGATGTATAATTACCAAAGCGGAATTACTTCTCATTGTTAACAACAAATGCTACATAGTTTATACCAAGTCAGTTAGCATTTTTAATCAGTCTTGAGATGAGTAGCATGCTTCAACAAGATAGCAATCGAGATAACTTGATCGGATAAATACAATTGTGACATATGAAATGTTTGGATCAATGGTCAATAACACGAGTGTTGTCTAGGACGAATTGAGAGTATATTTTCATCATGCAATGAACTACAATGAGTTTCATGCATCACTAAATTCTACATCTTTAGGCTACATATTTTGATTATACTTTAATTTCGTTCATTTAGATTAAGTCAATATTTTTTTAGCTATTTAATGAAACCAAAACGAACTCAGAAAGTTGTAAGAAGTGAAAAGGAATAAACGGTATTAGAAAATGAAAAAGAAATTATAGATAGTATTTATCAACAATTTATCTAGAACTAGATTATTTCAGATTATCAATGTAAATTCCAACATATATTTCCGAGTATTAGAGATGACAACAGTTCAATCGGAGAAAACACAAACTTTTTCATTATTAAGAAGTAATATCAGGTTTATTATAAATATTTATTAAAATTTAAAAATAAATTTATGCAAGAATTCCCTATAATGAAATAAATACATAATTTACAACGAATTATCTATTCAAATACTCTGCTTTTTAACATTTTCGTGAAAAAACAAACGCTCGCTGTACATGGAGTTCCGGATAAATATAATCCTCAATCTGAAGCAAAGTAAAACTATTTTTGGTATAAAAAAAATTGTCTTTCGAAAGCATGATCAAATGTATTAGTAAAGAAAAATAAAATCGTCTGACTTGTAATCTCATTGATAAATCAGTGTTCATTGAAATTAGTGTAAACTATCTTTTTTCATAGAATCATTCTCTGAATTTGATAATGTTGATGTTACTAAATTGCGTCGTTCAATTTCAGTCCGAATCATTGTTTGTTGAACTGTTTTTGGCAAGCCCATATTGAGACTACATATATAAGGTATCATTTCTTTTGGTGTTGATACGAAATCAACAATACATCGGATGAACATACAATCGTCGCGTACATATGGATTATTTTCCTGTTGAATAGCAGCTAAAGGAACAAACTTAGGTAGACCGGATGCAATATTCATATTTGATTTTGGTCGTTGAAAACTATTTGATTTAATATCAGGTCGAAATGAATCAATAATATGTTTTTGATTATTTGTTTGATCATATAGACAGAATGTAATTTTATAAGAGAATGGCCATGCTAATACAGCATCATAATCTCCTCTCATAAGTACGAAAAAAAGTGAAAGATGTGTTCGTCGTGCTTGACCATCACCATTAAAGTACAATCTCATACACATTTTATAACCAGTTGGTGATGAATAAAATGGTGGAGAATAAACACTTGTTTGTCGTTCCGAGATAGAATCATTGATCTTTTTCGCAATATCTGTAATTTTCCAAATAAATGTACCATCATGTGATGATTGACTTGTTAAATCCATCACCATTTGTCTTAGACTTTCAATTTCAGTTTGTAAAATATTTGTATTCATTTGGGTAGCATGCATAAATTGAGAAGTTTCTGCAACGGAATTTTTTAATTGTTCTATTTGATTTTGTTGTTCTAATGTATTATTATGAAGTTGCATAACATTATAATTAATTCGAACATTATCATCGTTTAATGATGAGAGTCCTTCAGCAAGCATATCTACAGAATCCATTATGTCAGAATAATTTTCTTCATTATTTGATAAAGTAAGACTAGTTTTAGGTTCACTATATAATTGTTGTACGTATGATTCAACGGCTTTTAAAAGACATTCTTGATGAATTTTGCTTGAATAATGTTCTTGTAAGTCATGAGAAGGTATTTCTCTAAGACAACCAAACTTTGCAATAGGACATGTTATGGAATCGTCATGACTGTTACGTCCACGTTTACATGAATTGTCGCTGATATTATTCTATAAAGAGAAAACAAAATGAATTAAATTTAAAGTAAAATATATTTTTTTCAAGATTGATTGATAAGAAAGATGAAATTTTTTGTTCTTGTGTTCCCGAATACTAGAGGTTTTTTTTTGCCGAATTAATTAACAAATCGAATCTATTGTATGTGTATGTCTGATGTAAGCTAATGTAATAAAAATTTCTCCTTAAATTTCATAGTAAAATTTTAGATATAATTAAATTGATATAATGTGTTTCATCTGTAACAGATTCTCATCTAGGTTATTTTCTAACGATATTTCGTATTCTCATCTGGCCTCGATTCAAAGTAAAAGGCAATCTGAATGTATTATATTTATTCGACGCTATATCAACATGTGCTACCATCTTTAAATGATTTTTTATATTCTAATGTATATAACAAGTATTAGTGTAGATATATACCTGGTTATCATTATCAGAGATGTGTCGCTTCGATGAATGTTGTCTTGCGTAAATTGGTCTCGAGTTTGAACATGGGTCATAACTCACTTGTGCAATTTGCATCTGATCTATGCTATGAGTCATTCGTAATTGTTTGTTATTTGATATATGAAAACTATTGACAAAATCGCGTATTTATACGCGGTCGTGTGATGGAAGGACAAATTCAACAGGAAAGAACCGTTAACGTCAGTGATTTTTCAAATCTACTCTAAAGTAGAAAAACACAACTAGAAATTTCATACTTCCATAAACGTGTCATTATATCCATTACTCACAGAGACAAAATGACGTGGAGCAAGGTTTTTTCCCATTCTTTCAAAATGACGCATACTGCTTATCTTGGAAAAAACCCATGCCATTGTAAAGAAGTTATATGACTAAAAATAAATATAAAAACCAAAGACCAACAAATGAACGATAATCATTATCAGTGATGATATTTTACTTATATGACGTATACATGCAATACTAAAAGTCATGACTTTCCAAAGAGTCTTTCTTTATTATAAACAAATTATTCAAGATTAATATCAAGAAAGGAAGTATCTCTCATGATGAAAAAAGTTTGAAGAGAATGTAATCATAATGTTTGAGTCAGAAATAAAATCATTATAAAATAAGACTGTATTTTTTTAATAAATATCATTTCGTCTGAATCAAATTATCAATAGAAAAATTCAAAAAAGTCTATTTATTTAATTAATATTCATATTTCAATGTTTTATTTTTGAATTATGAACATTTAGTTGATATTTATTATCATAATACTGCACAATAGATATTTACCGATAAACTCCATATGAGATAGAATTATACAACTCAACATAAGGAAAGAATGAATCACTTAGAAAAATTCCATTTCATAGGAAAATAATTCTTTCGACGGTATACCCAGGATTTACACAAATTTCATACGAATGGCATGACACTTTCCGAATTAGTACAATTTGATATCGTGATTATAAAAATCATCTTCAAAATGTTTTTGAAAGGCGCGATGGTGATTTCCAATCATTAACTACAAGACCGTTCTCAGCACAAACCAGATTTCTAGAACTTCTCTATTATAAATGATAGAAAACTGAAACTTTTACAGTAGATACAAGTTAATGAAACAATCATTTCATTAAGCGAAAACTTTTCGCTCTGATGTCATCTTCGAAATAAAAGGTTTCATAGCAACGTTGAATTTTTTCGGGATTTTTGAAGCATTAGTTCTCTGACACGGAGCACTGGTCATTCATCAATATTATATGTGTTAGAATCGTCTTCGAACGCATTATCCACTTATAAAATGTAGTAAGGTTCAAAACAAAAGTCACCTGCTTAGTAGAAGGAACTTTGGAAGGATTTTTAATTTGTCTTAAAGTTTCGAGCTCTTTACTGGAAACCTAGGAACTTCAGTCAGGAAAAAGACTTTATATTTGAGTTATTCTTGACATTATCTATAACAGAAGCGTATTTGCTTAACTGATCAATGAGTTTAAGAATTATGAAAATCGCAGTACAAATTTCACTGAAAATTCGTCGATCCTAAAAGCGTAGGACCAATGTTTAAATATCTATTTTTTATTAGTTTGGCTTCCATAAACTATGAATATATGTTGTTTCTCTCATCTGAATCCTTAGTCTTCTCAGTCAAAAGCCTAAAATTTTACAAAAAAATAAAGATCTTTCACCAAGCTCCTTCTACTGAGCAGCTGGCTTTTGAAGTCTAGATTCGGCTGGGAATGCTCCTGTAGTTGATGATTGAAAACCATAACAATACCATTTAAGAGCATTTCGAAGATGATTTTTCAGATCAGAACATCATGTTCTACTAGTTGGAAAAGTTTCATCCCATTCGCATGAAGCCCATGTCATGGTGGTACGCTTTCAAAAGAATTACCCAGGGCTCTTATTCAAAAATGTCCCATCAATATAGAAGAGGCAATTTTCACAACATTTCTCATCGTTATATTCAAGAAACTTATATGTAGTGATCCGAACTTGACTTCTTATTCCATCAACTCTTTCTTGTTTTATTATATGTAAATTTATAAATCTTATACATCCATTACAAATTAATTAAAAAAAGAAAAACATAACCAATTACTAATAAAAGTACAACATATTCTGTATTTATAAAGCCGTAGAATAATAATCCATTCGAAAAGGGTTCATTCCTATCTGAAAATTTAAGTGAAAAGGCTAGCTTAATATAGCTAAAATAGCTTCTATTTTTGCTTGAAAAACGCTGTTAAGCGCACGTTTTTAAGCATTTAAAAGAATTTCGAACATATTTAAGTCCTTATCAGTGCTTAAAATAGTAGTGAAAACTCCTCCAAGTGGCTTGTGACAGCTGAAAAAGTCAAATTCTAACTCCTTACAAGTCCCTTAGAACTCATCTATTCGACAGCAGCTAATAAGCGCTTGAATGTAACGAGATTCAACACTTTACAACCATTTCAGTTAGTTGTAGCTGAAAATCATTTTATAATTTCGCTATATCTAAGTGCTTATCAGCTGCTGTCGAATAGATGAATTGTAAGTAGCGTGTAAGGACTTAGAATTTTGACTCTTTCAGCTGCCAGAAGCCATCTAAAAGAGGTTTTACCACTATTTTAAGTGCTGATTAGCACTCAAATATGTTCAAAGTACTTTTAAGTACCTTGAAACGTGCGCTTAAAAGTCCTTTTTAAGCGAAATTATAAGTTATTATAAGTCGATTATAAATAGCTTACAATGCGAAAAAATTTTCAAATCGGTATTACCTTCATCAAACTTTCATAAAACATTTTACAATTATGAAGATAATAAATCTTTAAAGCATTTATGAAAATTTGATGAGACGTTTATGAGACTAATACATTCTCATTGGAAGGTTTATTATTCTATGGTTTTTATGTGCAGTGTACATTTATATTTCAAGTAGTAATTAGCTATTTTTACCGGTTTTAATTTTTTTTTTATCGGTGCAACATGTATAGAATTTATACATAACAAATCAGGAAATAGTTGATGAAATAAGAATTCAAGTTTCTTGAACATAACGACGAAAAATATTGTAAAAATTCTCAATCCCATATTGATGGGACATCTTTGAGTAATAACGCCATGAAATGTAATCTTTCTATTTGATACATTTTTTCTTTATGATCAGTTGCATAATTCTATTCCATATGAAGTTTAGCGGTAAAAATCTAGTATACAGTATTATGATAACAAATATCAACCGAATGTTTATAATTCAAAAAAAAAGAACATTGAAATATGAATGCAAATTAAATAAAAAGATTTCTTGAAAATTTTTCTATTGATAATTTCATTGAGAACCAATAATGTTTATTAAAAAAACAAATTTTCTTATTTGATAATGATTTTATCTCTAACTCAAACATTATGATTACATTGTCTTCAAACTTGTTTCTTATTATAAGAGATATTTCCTTTCCTAATATCAATCTAAAATTATTTGTTTATAATAAAGAAAGATGCTCTGGAAATTCGTAACTTTTAGTATTGCATGCATACATCATATAAGCAAAATACCATCACTGATAATGATTATGGTTCATTGTTGATCTTTGGTTTATGTATTTGTTTGTATCATATAACTTATTTACTATTGCCTATGTTATTTTGAAGTTATAGATAGAATGCGTCACCCTTAAAGAGTCGAAGAAAATTTTGTTTCTTCGGTTTTCTTTTTGTCCTTGTGTGTCGCCACATAATTATACATGTGTAGGAATATGAAATTTCAAATTGTTTTTTTCGCACTTGCAAGAACTTGGAAAACTATATATGGAAATTAATTTCCCTGATGAATTTGCCCGTTTATGACAGAACAACGTTTTATGAATACCTAAAAATATGTTTAGACATTTCACTTTTTTTTTTCACTAGTTTTAATATATATCAAATAACCAACAACTTACGATGTTTGTCCAAGCGCAAGATCAGTTTATACAAGACAACATGCATCGACGCGACGCATTTCTGACAAAGATAAACAGGTATATATCTACACTAATATTTATCATTCAGATTGGTTAAAAAATTATCACTTATAAAGAATCATAGACGTTAGCATCACACTGAGTAAACATAATATGTTCAGATTATCTTTATTTCGAGTCGGTGACAGATGAGAATATTATATATAACTAGTATTCTGACCTGTCATGGATTCAAAATAAAGATAGTCGGAATATTTTATATTTATTCAATGTTTTACTAACATTTCCCATCCTCTTTAAATGATTGTTGATGTGCCAATCTGAATGGTAAGTATTATTGTAGATATATAAAGGGTGTCCTAGATGATCTGAAACGATATTCGAATTCACCATTATTGCATTTAAGAAAAGCAAACTCTTTAAAACTTTGCCAGATTATTGTGCTTACCTAGTAATTGATAAATATCAAAGGATAGTATTTCATGGTTTCACATCCATAGTAAAAGTAATCAGTCTCAAACTTTGTAGCTATTTACTACTAAGTAGATACAATAATCTACCAAAGTTGCAAAGAGTTTGCTTTTGCTGAGTGCAATAAAAATGAATTTTGAAAACCGTTTCCGAACTTCTCGAACACCTCTTACTTGTTTATCATTGTCAGAAGTACGTCGTTTAAATGAATATTGCCTTGTGTAAACTGGTCTTATGTTTGAACAAGCATCATAAGTTGTTTATGCAATTGGCATATCATCCATGCTATGAGTTATTCGTAATTGTTTGTTATTTGATATATGAAAACCACTGAAAATCTAAATATTTGCTAAAAGCTTTTTATGCGTTGGTCTGTGATAAAAGAGCAAATTCAACAGAAGAAAACCATTGACGATTGGAACTTTCCAAATTCCGTCTATAGCAAAAAAAAACACTGGAAATTTCATACTCCTATACCTGTATGATTATGAAATTATTCACAGGAACAAAAACATCAAAGAAACATGGTATCCTCCAATTTTTTAAAAGTGACGCATAGTATCTATCTTGGAAAGAACACATGCAATTGTAAATAGGTTATATGATAAAAACAAATACATAAACCAAAGATCAACAATGAACGATAATCATTATCAGTGATGATATTTTACT